TTTTTAATTCATGCTGTAAGCTAGATTTAAACATCTATTTTCTGTATTTTTGCATTCTTCGCTTTGTTTATTTTCTTGTTTTACCATTCTGATCAAAAAGTATATGCATAGGAGTGTTCTATTTACTGGTGAAGTCAGATTTCAGTAACTATACTAATTTTATATATCATCGTTATAAATACATTATTAAATAACAGTCTCAAATAATAAATGATATGCTTAAAGTGAGTAGAAATGGTTGATTATTTTATCTTTCATAATTAATCAAACTAACTAAAAATTGCTTTAAAAAAACTATTTTGTAAAAGTGTTGGGATATGAAGTTTTTGTGAGAATATTAGTGAAAACATTGTATATTGTTCTTTAGACAAGATAGATATAATAATACGACAAAAAAGAATTTTTTAATAAAGAACTCATAACGATAATATATTCCTAAAACTGTCCCTCGATTTTGTTCGAAATTTTTTTGGTGAAAAAGTGATCAATAACCTTGCGGGTTTTTCAGAAAAATTTAGTTTAGAGCTCAGGATTTAACATTTGATTTTTTGAGCAATTCTTTAACTCGTAATTTGTTTTTTTAACAATAAAAAAATGCCAATACAGTTTGAAGGTTTCGAAACGCACTTAGACTACAATAATTTAAGCCTCATTTCAATACACCAAATTTCGTCGTTATAAAGACAATTTTACATACAGTATTTCAAAATTTTTAACACGTCTTTCGGAAACGCCTAACTGGTCTGAGCGGCACTTTCTCTCAGAAAGGATCGATTACTGACCAGTATTTATATTTGGCTCTAAATTTATAAAACGTTGAGAGTTAGGAGATAGGAAGAAGTTGAACAAAACAACCACCTTGTAATTATAGTGAGCTTCATTTCTAAGTCCGCATGAAGGTGCCAAGAATGCGCTTCATTTGCAGGGGCTAGATTTACAGTTAATTTTTTGTGCAGTTTCTTAACTATTTTATTGTTATTTTTTGAGTAACATACACAAAACGAGGAAGTGGTAAGATTTTGATTGAATTTAGAACGAGAAGGCAGAACTTCATATTAAACAAATTGAGGTTTGTTCAGTGGTTGCTACTGTATATCAAGTACAAAAATGTAAGAGTCTTATTAAAGCAGTTTTGTGCTTATGATTTACAGCTTCAATTCATTATAGATAGGTTGATTTCCAATAATAAAGTACACGACCATATTGAAGAGCAAAAGTTAGATCTTATTTCAAAACGATCAAAGCGAGCATTGGATCGTGGTTCTGAAAATAATGAAAAGGCTGATACAAATGAAATGATCCATTTGTGAAGGTTATGTATTAATATTTCTTGATTTCATCCAATTTATACAAATCTATTTGGTATGTTCTCTAGAATACAGACAACAAAACCGTATGCTCTCAGAAAAAGACAAAATAAAGAATTACCATCAGATAAAGCCAATATTTAACCTTGACTACTTCTGAATATGTACATAGATTAGTAAAATCAACACGAAAACTTCGCAAGATTCAGCATCCTATAATGAAGAGTCTTCTTCATCTGATTCTGAGATCGTGATATCCCATTTCACTTACGAATGTCTTTCTAGATACTTCTTTAAAACAACAAATACCAATCTCTTTCATTGAGAATATTGATATAGATGGTACAAAGTTTCTAGATGTGTCACTATCAAGTAAAATCCGGACAGGTTTTCTATTTACTTGACTATTGAATTTAAATAATCTTACTTCTAAATATGCAAAAATACAGAAAATAGATGTTTAAATCTAGCTTACAGCATGAATTAAAAAATCAGGACATAATCTTAAATGCTAGACTTGTTAAAACAATATGATATGATGTTAACTGCGACGTTCTAAATCTGAAGATCACAATCTCGAACGTTCATAAACCCGACAAACGAATTCCGAATTAACGGCATCCCGATGACCGAAATCCCACTCCCGAATGCAGAAAATCCCGAAAGTATTGTCACAGGTAAAGAATATATGGGTGGTTTAGTGAATTTATTTTGTGATTAAGGTAGAATAATTGGACTATTTATGTCCAATTCCTGTGCCAATATCGTTCTTTGTGTGCTGATTAAGGGGAAGAATGCTAGTGAAAAAGATGATTTGGGCGTGGAAGTTGGAAGGATTTCGGGAGAGAGAGAGGTGGGGAGGAAGTGATTATGTGTTATAAATTGTTCTATTGACTATACTAATTCTAATCAATGCTTTACCTAACCAAAAGAGTTAAACTCGAATCAAACAATCAGTTGATGTGTTGCCTTTTCTGGATCAAGGACCTAACCAATACGATCTCTTTTCTGACACAAAGAACCTAACCGATATGATACGATTATGACGCCCTTACGAAGGGTTTTTACAAGTGTTTTTATTATTTGAAGAGAACTGTACGCTATTTACTTTTTTTAGATGAATTTTTTATAATTTATTTCTTTAATTGTATTCTTTATTTGAAAGCCACCCTTTATTTACATCTTCGTTAATTTTATTTATTTAATTAAAGAAATACTACTTTGAACCTATTAACGACATATAATTACATTGATAGAAAGAAGGCAAATATGGTGTGTGCACTTAGGGAGAGTGCACTTGGGGGTGTGACTGCACTATATCATTTCAATTTAATATATAGAGATATATATAATAAGTATGACAAATTAAACAAAATTTGGAATTTTTTGAAGTTGAAAATTCTAAAAGATAAGAATACTGACTAATGAGATTAGACTAATTTGAATTTTCTCAGGTTTAATCTGATCTGAAATTTCCGATCAAGAATTCAAATGAAGTTTTCAATGCAAATTATTTTTGAATTAATCAAAAGATTTTATTTCTTATAAATATAAAATTATTGATTTTAAGTGTGTCAAAGTAAAGTTTTATTTTATGACTCAATCTATGATATCAAAAATCAATTATAAATATCTCCCAATTTGACACTGATTCAGGCAACTTAAAATGTATCTGACTTCATTTTAATCTGCGTAATCATTACTCATTAAATATAAAAGATCAAAAATTCAATCACCTATAAAATCTATTAAACTTTGCTGAAAGAGCTGAACCTGTTAAAATGCAATTATTAATTTGACTCCCGTCTGTGAAATTAAGCATCACAAATATGATCTTGGGACTGCAGGTTGTGCAGTTTTAAAGCCCTAGATTGCGTTAATAACGTGAACTATATAGTTCAATAGAGATTTTGTTTGATTACTGAAAAATTATTAAAGTGTAAAGTAAAAAGTAGGTAATATTATTTCCTTTGGAGAAACAGAATATTGTTCTAATAGCATCTATTAAACCGTCTTTCTTGTTTTAATGTTTCAACATGAATTTGTTGCTTTTCTTATAAATCACTCGATGTCTCTTTGACTTCATGTGGTATATTAATATCAAAATCTATTTTATATCACCGAAGAAAAGTGAGTTACAAGTTTATGAAATAAAAAGTTAATATTAAATGAGTTAATATTAAATAAATAGTTACCTTCGTTTGAAACGTACAAACTGACGTTTACTGATTCGGTATCAACGTCTATAACATCTAATATTAAATCAATATTAGTCGAGTTGTGAGCATATTTTTAACGGAATAAAGAATAAAAAAGCGCGTAAAGATGCTTTCGTTTGCTCGTGAAATATAAATAAATTTAATACAAATATGTCCTTGAGATATGTTCTTAATTAACGTTATAGGAAAGACTATAACTGTTCTATAAACATTATACTTTATTATAACCCGAAGTAGAATTTTATTTCATCTGAGATGCTGCAGATTTAATATCGACTTAACTTGTTAGAGCGTAATTTGATTTTTTATATGCACGTTACTAAAAAATTCAAAGTAGTTAGTAAAGTGATTTTTTAAGGAGTAAACGAATCAAATCGCAAGATTGTCGCGAATAAAAAAATGCAATGTAATCTTCCATATAATCAATCACACAGTTATATGGAGGTCAAAAATTCTTGAGATCGGGAAAACCTGTGATCAATGAATGGAATTTTTTTTGCCCTCAAAAAATTAAATTTGTTCTCAAGTAAAAATAAATTTTTCCGTTCCCACACTAATCTTGCGATTTAATTTGGTTTACTCCTTAAAAATCACATAACCAAACACATTTTTTTCGCCGAGAAATAAAAACAATCAGTAAATAAAAATACATGTAAATAAAAATAGTGCGATGTAACTAAACGTAGAAGTCTTGGCGAAAATGCACATCAAAAAAATTTGGTGACACAAAGTGTATTACGAATTTTTTATTTAGAACATACATGTTCATATTTCGATATAAACGCATTTTATAAAGTGAACTCAAAGATGGAACCAAATGGTCA